ATTGGTTAAATAAAAGCACTTGATTTTTCTGGACATCTATAGAAATTTGATCCATTTCTGATTCACCTCCCATTTCTTTTGCTCTTGGTGCCTACTTTGCGTCCCATGTGAATCTTTGAACTATTATTGTACTGAATTTATCTTTGGTGCCTTTAAATTGGTCCCAGTACTTTGCACCATGGCCCCTGAAACTGTTGATCTCAAAATCTTAGTAGTCCCGAAATAACATGCCATTATATCCCATCGTCTAGAGCAATCCTGCCTCTCTTAACACCGTTCAAAAACCCGATAAAGACCTTTCAAATTTGCAACCTCCAGAACTCCATCTTCCATCAGCGACTTGGTCGCTACCAACCTCGCTTTAAATGCTGGAAAAAAGACATGCTCAATAGCGTGTCTGATATGTTGCCGCCTTGCCCGCAACTCTTCTGGGATATCCTCCTCACGAATACTGTCTGCGTCACCGGGCAAACTTGGCAATTGTTCTGGAACGTAAAAGGTGGCTAGTTCGCGTACGAAAGAGTCAAAGCAGGCCTTTTCCTCAGTCCAGTCAACACTAGGGCCAAGACGGAGGAGGAAGCGAGGGAGTTTAACGAGAGGTGGCGTGTACCCCTTCAACAGTAGTGGTAATGACACGAGTTCGCCAGCAGGTGATATTTCGAGAGAGAAGTACTCAAGAAGCATCTCGCGGCGCTCAATGAGCTGATCCGCTACCCGGTCTACCAAGGTTTCGACTTCGAAATCATCCTCAGGTGAGGTTATAGAGCTCTTCTCCATCTCTGCTGCCTTTCGAAGCAACTCGCGAAGGTCCAACGAGGGGTTGAATTTGATGGCACCAAAATTACCAAAATCTGTAAGGGCCAGTTGGTAAAAATACTCGTAGCAAGTTCGCCCGTAATCGATCAGGTACAGTCTGACGTCGCCTTGGATTGCTGCCAACCGTCTTCGCTCATCCACGATACCCACGAAAGTATGGTTAGAAAAAACCTCGGTTAGATCGTGGTGCGTATCTTCTCTAACTTCGTCTCTCAACTTTTTTATGCTGTTCAGTCGGCATTGCACCAGTTCGCGGTCAACTATCTCGTATTCCTGAGCTTCAGGGGCAGTAGTTGTTTCCGCTGTGCGGTCCATAGAGCCGGTCGACTCGCTTGGGCCAGCTCGGGCAAACATCGATGTAATCTTCCGCTCAGTTGTGTCCGTCCTCACTAGGTCATTCGAGTATCTTCGCTTCTTTGATGCTGGAGTTCTTCGACTCGGCGTGCCGTCGCTCTCTGTTTGTGGGGTGGAATCGATCACTTTTGCACCAGGAAGAAGTGTCTGTGTCATGAATGTCCGGCTCGTATCCACTGCAGCAAGTTTAGACTCGATATGCTCACATATAGATTGAATGATCTCGTCTTCGTTGAGAAAGTGGACCTCTCTCTTTGTTGGATGAACGTTGACATCCACCCGAGCAGGTTCGATTTCAAGACTAAGGTAGATGAATGGATGGCCGTTCTTGGGCAAGAAATTAGCATAGGTTTGCTCGATTGCCTTCTTTATGTGGGTTGATTCTACACATCGATGGTTGATGAAGAGCAGAAGTGTTGTCTTTTTGACGGAGTAATTTGCGTTGGTTGTGAAGCCTTCAGCTTTGAAACCCCACCGGTCTTCGGCGACTGAGAATTCCAAAAGCTCGTTAGCCACGGCACTACCGTGGATTTGACGAATGCGATCAATGACAGTAGCCTGAGCTTGTATCGATAGATTTGTCGAGGCTTCGCCCGCCTTCTTGCAAGTGAATCCAACGCCTTTGCAGTGCACAGCGTACCGACCAACCATATCGATAATCTTGTTGAACTCATCAGCCGGCGAACGAAAGGCTCTTCTTCGAGTCGGTATATTATAGAAAAGGTCTTCCACTGTGATTTGTGTGCCAGGACGACCTGCAACGCCTTTGGGCTCGGCCGACTGGCCAGGCTTTGCCGGCGCAAGCTTTCCATCAAGGTAGTGGGCTCTCCATGCCAAATCTGAATCTTTCGTCTTGGTGGTCACGGAGAGATGGGCGATATGGCTGATACTGGCAAGAGCCTCGCCCCTGAAGCCATATGTCGCAATGGCTGCCAGATCTTCAAAGCTGGTGATTTTAGATGTGGTGTGACGCTCACAAAGAATAGCCAGGTCTTCTTTCTGTTACAATGGTAAGCTTTTAAGATATACATATGGGTGATTGTTTTATTACCTGGATACCACAACCATTGTCCGTTATCTGTAACAGCTTGAGCCCTCCATCCTTGGCAAGGACATCCAGAGAGGTCGCACCAGCATCGACCGCATTCTCGATGAGCTCCTTGAGAGCGTGAACGGGAGCCACAATAATTTCACCAGCAGCAATTTTGTTCACCACGTTTGGGTCAAGTGCCTGCAGTCATGTTAGCGGGCGAGCCAGGCTATGCATAGTTAAGGCGTTGAAAAAGCAGCCTCAAGTTTGCTTACCCTGATTCTGCGAGGTGCATCACTTTTTGCGGGCAAATTTCCAATAGGCTGCCCATCGGCGTTTCTTTTCGTCCCACTTGGGGGAACATTTAGAATGTCATCGGGGGCTGTTTGGGCACCTCCCATATCAACATCCGCGTCTGTTGCCATTTCTAGCTATGGCAGCCGAGTTGTTGCGCCGGGGCACAAGAACCAGCCCGTGAGGTGGTACCAAGAATTCTTCTAGAGGTAATCAAATGCGAATAGGTCGGGCGACAGATGCTGGAGGTCATGCGCAGGTTGTTTGATATTTCCTCTTCTCTCAGTTCGTTTCCCGGGCGTGTCGTCTCATATCTACGTTTCCCGTGGCGCTTAGGATTAACCACACAAGATGTTAGCCTATCCCCGGGGAAACCCTGCTTTGAATCCGATACGTTGATTAAAGGAGAAAAGGGAGCGGTTCATGCGAGACAAGGACAGGCCGTCAATGACAGGTTGTTAGCAGGCCTCATTGATAGGCAATGCGCGGATGAGCTTGGCCACGTGACTGCATTACGACTCTAAGGTGCACCTTCCCCGTATCTTCTCAGATTGGAAATTCATCATCTCGACGGGACTTCAAGGCAGGCAGGATGCACTTCGAAAAGGACTTGCCGTGTTTGGCGCGTGTAACTTCCAATTATTTCTTGTTGGTCCTCACCACATTAAAAAATTACAAATGATGAACACGCCAACAAGGATCCAAACTCGCCTTGATTACGGCTTCAGCTGCATCGAACCAACTTGGGATGAAAGACGTATTGGGGGCGCCTCGGTCAGTGACTCAACTTTTTCAGCGCCCAGGAACTAAATATAAAAAAAAGGCAACAAGAAGAATAAAAAGATGATAAATGATAAATGAGCGTGAATTTTCGCTATCTCAACGCTGCGTCAGCTCTCGCCGCCGCGCGTAAGGCGGATCGCAAGCGATACAAATGCAGTCAGCAATGCAGCAAGGTTACACATATTTAGATACAGCTGAAGCAATCTTGGTTGGTTCTTGGGGAGGCCAACCATAAATTGAGTGAGTAAACTAGAGCAAGGGGTTCATGTGCCTGGACCGTTCTCTTGCATCATCTCTCGATTGTGCCACCAGCCTTACAAGGTCGGGTTGACTGTTGTAGATAGCGATTTGTGTAAGCAAGATTGGGCTCGTGATTCATTGAAATTCTCCTTGTGGTCCAAAGGCGCATTGCGCATATGCGCTCTTGGTAGCACAGCCTCTCTCTCATGACGAAGGTTGTTGATACTGTCAAACAGTCGTCGGTTCTTCTTTTCTTTTCTTTTTCATGACAAATCTAAACAAGGTTGTTTTTATGATATTTGACGTCGGCTTTGCTTTTCATGGCCGGCCCCTGTCTTGGACGCCTTGTCTTGGGACGAACTGGCTGTGTTCCATGAGTCTTCTTTCACTTTCAAGCTCCAATCACCAAGCAGCCGGGCACTCTCTTGAAATGCACTGCAAACGTAGCCACCTCAGGGAAGGGTTTGGTGGCTGCTGCTAACGATTTTCTTGACTGAAACATGCGTATCCATTTGTCGATTTGGCTGCATCTCTCGTCCGAATTGGGACATGGGTGTTAGGACTTATTTCAGGACTCTTGAGCGTGAAGATCCGAACGGCTGCCTGAAGGCGTAGGCATGGATGATGGATGATGATGATGCGGACCAACGCCCGTGGAAAGGGACAAGAGAGAAGAGAACTCATCGCAAGGTTGTGTTTGTTTGTCTCTTCTCTCACCTGATGCATAATTGTTTGCCACTGGTGTTTTGCGCCAAGTCGCAGTGCAATTCACATAATGCTTATGTCTAAGATTCAGCGTTGCAAATCTAGGCACGCACGCAATGCATCTGCCTACATTGTAAGTCCGTTGCTCCTCTATAACCCACGAAAAACAAGAGAAATGCCCTTCTGTGGCACCTCTCAGCCGTTGCATTGCCTCATTGTAAGCCTTGGAACAGGGTCTTGCAGTGGATGGTGTTGCTGAATAAGTCAAGGCACAACCAAGACAATTGGATGTGATGTACACAGCCTGACCTGAGGTGGGCTGGCACACTCTCTGTTTGTGCACTCCACTGTACCTAGAAATTGCGCAGTACGAAATGCAAGGTACCACTAGGTACTAAGGTAGTCAGCCCAATGCTAGAATTTTTCCATTTTCTTAGACTAAACAGCTTGAAATGGGTCATTCATTCATTCAGCATTACCTCCTTGTGCCAGTGGAGGCCAGGTAAGAGGCAGATGGTCCGCCCATGGTTTGCATATATCAAGAGCCAAACCCATAAAAAGAGATGGGCTATTGCATCCACCACTCCCAAGAATTATTTCGTAAGATCTATCCTTTTACTACTCCAAAGTAACCTCTATAAAATCTCTGTCAATAATTTCCATATTTTCCATCCTTCGCATCCTCGATTCAATCTCTGTTGGCCCGATCCCTTCCACCCTGTTCCCTGCAATAAGAACCCAAACTCAGATCCTTCGGCACACGTCTCAACCATTCAAGATGGCAGCCGACTCACTCCCAAGCTCAAACTCAAAGACACTGTCATCCAAGAGGTTTGTTTCATAACGATCCTTCATATTTACCCCCCCTACTAACAATACATCTTTTCTAGCTGTCTCTGCTCAGGTTCTAGTCATGGAGGATCATCACGATCCAGCTCCTCCGCATCAAACCGCTGCTCGAGCTGTAGCTTCCGGTCCGGATCTCCACTTCCGGGACGCCCCGCATCCGGAGACCGTGACAAGAACGATCTCAAACACTTTCATCTCTCGAGCCCAGCTACGGGTGTCGTCAATGGAAATGACCCCCTGGCAGCCGAAATTGGTGCTCAATGGGAAGATGGCCACAGACTTGGCCCTCAATTGGCCCATGGTCTGCCCAACTTGTCGAAATTGAACTGAGTACGGAGTACCCATCACGTTACTCCGTACAATCAGTTAAAAAAAATAAAAAATAAAAAAAAATAAAAAAAAGAGGGCATGTTGGGGTCGTGAGGCAGCGAGTCGAATACAAGACCAATAGTCGCGAGACAAAGTGTATAACAACATTGTATTTCTTGTTTATTTCTTTCCAGAGTTTCATCTAATATTGCCCATCTCCTCTTTCAAGTATCGATTCTTATTGAAATATGGTACGCACGTCGAGTTGATAAATCTGGTCAAATTGGAATATAGAAGAATTCAAAGCGTGTTCAAGACCTTTAAAACACTCCACTCTAACATAACCTCTACACACACATCCATACCTATAAGCAAGATCCTCTCTCTCTCTCCCTGTGACATCATGTCAAGCACCGCCACAGCTCAACTCGGCTCATTCATTTCAATACTGTAGTCTTCGGGGCGTCGGGTCCTCCTCCGAATCTGAATCTGCCTAAGCTGGGAGTGCTCACCCCTTCTCCCGTCTGCCGTCTCCCCAACTGCCGTAACGTTCCATACGCGGACGGATAACGGGGGGGCCGGACGATGCGGCAGGCAGATGCAGATGCAGATGCAGATGAACTAAACTAATGGACACTCGGAGAATATTTAATTTTAAAAAACTTAGACAAGGTACTTATCCTTTAACATTGGATACATCGAGACATCAATTGGATCTCTTTAAACGCACACGCCCCCCGGAAACCCCCTGCGAATCGCACATCGACAGAGCCAGATTCGGGTATTGACTTGCACATCACATCCTTTCTATTGGATCCATGGTTCTGTGTATGTATATCCGAATTGCAATGCACATATCCGTTGCACTCACCTCTCATTGGCTTTAAAGACCCTTCTCTGGCCTGCCCTGTCCTTGTCATTGTCACATCACATCAGCGCCGCACTGTAACACATTCTGGCACGCTTCTGTCTGTGTTACCAAACACGTGCTATTACTCATTGTATCGCGTCAAGGTATTCACGTCCTCTTCTTTTCCTCCTGCATAATCTGACTCAGTCACTCACTCTCCTCTGTTCTGTCGAGTCTTATTCCTCAAGATCAAGCCCATGCAAGACATGCCGCCAGCCTTATTCTATCTCCAGTCCCGCCACAACCCATCACTGTTGGCCTCGTCCGCCCGTTCTTTCACATACCACAACGCATTCAAAGCCAACTAACCCCCAATTCTCTGCTCATACAAAGCTGTCTAACAACAAAGATCAGCCTAGCTGAGCCCAACTGTATATATGGATATATTTGACACTGCAAAACTGTTGTCGCTCTCCCCAACCTAACGCCGCCGGCTGTAAATGCACAGATGCTTCAGCGGCACCACCAGGCCGTATTCACCCTCCTTTCTCGCTCTCATACACGTAACGATACACAAGACACAATCATGACAAGAGGATTACAGTACATGTGGCGTCCTGGTAGACCCAAATACTCGTCGCACTAAAATCAAAACAACAAAAATCAAACAAGCCATGTATCTGGACGCTCCACATGATTCAACTTCCATCCGTGCAAATATCAACAACGCTTATCGCCGCCGCTCAGGGTCATCGGGCTTGTCGATCAGACCACCAATATCAACTCGGTTTGACCTTTCCTCCCGTGTCCGTGGCCGAGGCTGCTCTGGTCCTGGTCCTGGCTGGGCTCGAATTGGCGGAAGCTGAAAAGCTGCTTGAGGTCGATACACGCTTGCAGGGGGCAGTTCGCTCCGGGGAACATTATATGATGGGGGTCCTCCATACTCTGTATGACTTGGTGATGCAGCATACGAAGTTGAGCCCGCCCCAGCAGGAACTCCGGGATTCATGGCGGCAGACAACTGTGTTGGAGGAACAGCAGCAGGTCGAGATACCAGTGGGACTTCGCTGAATCGACCTCTGGGCATATCAAAGGGTGGCCCTGGCGGCACCGGTGTCCTGTAAAGAGATTGTGGAGTTGGCGGCTGAGAACCATACGCATGCGAAGCCTCTCTGGTGGCCGGCGAAGAAGGTAAAGGATACGCATGCCGGGGTGGTAAACTCAGGACCATGACGACGACGTAGATCGAGCCCTCCTTCTCGAGCCCTAGTCGAACGGGATAATGTCTCGGTTGTCCATCAGCTGCTCTGAAAGTTAGGTATTCATTTCGGTCGAGTTGGAAGCGCCCGATATCCTCTGCGCCAAAGCCAAGTCCCTGGATGATATGGTCGAGTCGAGAAAGGATTGGTGGTAAATAGTTCGGCTCCTTTCGTGTTTGCTCCTCGATCAGTTGACTTCTAATCGACGCAACTTTCTCCCTCTCCGCAGGGACAACGACATCCCCCAAGTTCTGTCCCTGGAGTTCCACATGGCCTACAGCTTCCATAAAAGTTGGCGAAGCCTTCGCAAAATCCATCTTCATGTTCAAGAAAGCAACAGGGTCTGCTCCTCGAGGCCCGGCCGATAGAGGGGGTGGGAAAGTGGGAGCGTCCATGTTGGGTCCTCGCTCAGTATATCGCGGGTTCATATGTTCCCTATTATCAAAGCGTTAGCACTTCGACAAAATGCCAGGACGCCACTTCATCCGCCTTACCCAGGTCCTATTGGGACGCCCGAAGGATATATGCTCAATGGTCGCCTCGCCGTAGTATCTTGCGGGTGAGGAAATCTTGATGGATCATAGCGAGTTTCACGATCGTCTCTTAGTCGCGGTCGTCCTCGTTTCTTGTGTTGAACATCGACGCATGATTCCTCCTTCCCATTCGTGATACATCTCGAACATGGACGTTGTGCTATTAATATATTAGCACTCCTTGCCCTTGCGAAGTTGTATCAGAAGCGTATATCGCTATGTGCATTCTGCCTGGCCATATTCAGGGCATCGACAAGAGACACAACATGCACTGAACCAGGCCGTCTTTCTTGTATGACATGAATTCCAGTGTGTAGAGATCCAGCCGTGGACTGGCCACGTTGGCATCATCTCTCAATCTCGGAGGATTCTCGAGTAAGGAAAGGGATTTCACAGCATAACGTAAAGGAACAGGTTCTTGAAAACATACCATCACAGCTAGTCACGAGTTAGTACGGCTAGTTCATATGGACACATAGAGGACCACTTACCGAAGATGTGCTCGTTTACATGGGACACATGCGGAGGCCACATGACCTTTTGTTTTCCTCTGCGATTTTGGGGAAGTCATAGGCTGATTCTCAACCACTGACGGGCGGACAGATGATGTGTAAGACGAAGATGCCCCAGGAATTCCAGGAGGAATATAACCAGATGACTGGGGCATAGATGGTCCACCTGGTTGGATGTACGAAACAGGTCGAAGTACGGTCTCTTCTGTCCTTCGATATGAAAACGGCGGCGCGTCTGGGGGCCCTGGTTGGAATAATCTGGGAAGCGTGGTCTGCATGTTGGCAGGCCATCGATGATCAGTCGGCAATTGTTGATTTGAGTTGCTCCAGTAAGTATCGGGCTGACTGGAAGCTGAATATCCCACTGGTGCTTGCCCTCGATCCCCAGCGTCTTGGGGCTGCTTCGAGGGGAGGGGCGGAGATCCTGACATGGGTGGAGAGGGATATGCTCGATAGCGAGCAAAAGAGTCTTGCTCTGCGCTCTCGGATACCCAGGCCAGGTCTAAGGCAATTTGCGCCAGGTCTGAGATGCCGCGGCGTTGGCCGAGCGGGACGGATGCAGAATCGGAGACGGATCCCTTAATGACCATGAGGGCAAAATTGCTGCAGGATTAGTGGCTGGACAGACAGTAACCCCAACCCTGAGCTAGAAACAACAAAGATACACTCTGGGTTTGTCGTCTTGATCTGTCTTCGCGATACAATCGGATTTGATCTGGGCTAACCACCAGTTGTCGTCAGTGGCCACCGCTCAGGATCCAGCTGACCTGGACAAAGAGGTATCTCTTGTTAAGCTCCAGGTGCAAATTCAGCTGCTTCTTACCAGTCCGACAACCCCTTCTTTCGAGTTGCGAGCTGTAAGGTCGCTGAAGCTGATCTTGATGGAGTTTTGCCCCGCTTCTAAGATCTGCGGAGCTGAGGTAGCAGAGGAGCAGAAGTTACCAAGAGCATTCGGGATGATAGGCTGACGGTTGTGAAGGAACACTTCAACGGCAGCGAGTCAGGGATCAAAGAAGCGACAAGCGAGTGCCAAAGCGAGGAGGCGTGAGACGAGATGCTGCACCGTGATACTACAGAGATGCGATCTTGGAGAGGTCCTGGTGATACAGCGTCAAGCCGTGCAGTTGGGAGGTCGAGACGGAAGCGGCCAACCGCAGATACTCAGGGCCGGAACCTAAGAGGCGGAACCAGGTGAGGTAGGGCGGGTAGGTAGGTATATTCGGGCCCCTTGCTGGCCGGGAGGCCGTGAACACAGGTGATCGGGCTGTGGACGGAGACTGTTCGGTGGCCTACGACTGGTTTTTGTGAGACTATGTATGCAATAAAACCTTCCCTCTGAGTGGCAGCGCGACTGAGATGCAGCTTGGATGGATCAGGGTTGGTAACAGGGCAGTAGGACCCTGGTTCGGATTTTAGAGTGGCTGCTAAGTCAATCAAGGGTTCCGGTAGATTTCCATAACGAGAATTCTCCGCCTCCCTTGGTCTTTGCAATATGCGCCAGAAGATCACCAGAGTGAGAGATTTGGCGCGGAAGCAATAAGACAGGATACGTGATGGTGATTGGGGCGTTATATCAGCTGGAAGTAGTGGTATAGGCGACGTAATAGTGTGAACAAGCAGAAGCAATATTAGCTACGACCTTTCAGCCTTTGCTTCTCGCTGAGCACCTAGTGAGAGGTTCTTGTTAATCGGTGGAGGTGCTCTTCAGTATTGATAGCGGGGGTGTAAGGCAAGATCAAGATGAACAAGGGCGGTCGAAGAAGACGCTGAATGGAGTGAGAGAGCCGCCGTAGTCAAGTCGGACTCGCGCCGACTGGCTGGGTTAGATATCGGCCGTCCCGAGAAGACGGAATTGAGAGAGAAGGGC